AGGAGTTAAAAAGAGACTCGGAGATCAAATTGTCAGTACGTTTACCTGCGATTCTACATAGAAATGTCATCGATGGTGGGTTGCTGTGCTATTGCACGGGCATTGAGGATGTGCCTCGCATCGTTGTTCCTCATGATGAAGACTTGAAGTATCTTATCCTCTTTGAGGCACACGATACTGCTATAAGCGGTCCCCTTCGGTCGTGAGAAGACCTATTGCTTAGTTAGACAGACGTATTGTTAGCTTAAGCTGTACAAATGGGTGAGCACATATGTGCGTACATGTGAAACGTGTCAACGTGTAAAACCCTCAGTACATGCGGTTGCACCGCTTTCTAGTTTGCTTGTACCCACTAAATGTTAGGAGTCCATCAGTATGGGCTTTGTGTTTGGCCTATAAACGGATTTGGACGGCAACACTGGTATTGTGGTCTTTGTTGACCGTTTTAGCAAGATGGCTCATTTAGCGGCTATGTCGATTCCATTGATGGTGAAGGTACAGCAAAGCTGTTTATCGACCGTGTGTTGTCAAAACGGTTTGCCTGTGGCAATTGTCTCTGATCGTGATCCACGTTTCACTGGCAAGTCTTGGAATTCCATCTTCAATATTCTGAGCAAAAGGTTGTACATGATCACAGCGTATCATCCGCAGACTGATGGTCAAACTGAGCGTGTCAAACGTGTCATTGGTGACATTTTGCGCAGTATTTGTGCTGATACTCCTAGTTGTTGAAGCTCTGTGCTCTCTATGGTCGAGTTCGCATTAAACAACGCTTTTAGGCCTCTACTGGCTTCACTACATTCTACGTAAATGGTCTCACTCACCCACGCGTTCCTTTAACGCTTCCACTACGACGTTCTGGGCTTGGTGGGGGAGGATTAGCCGATCGGCCTGATACTGTCAGCCCAACTACTGTTCAAAAACAGGTGAGCGAGTTGCTTGCAGCGCAATTGAATGTCTTACGACATGTACGTGATGCAATGGCTAATAGCCAGGAGAAACAAAAAAACAAGCTGATGCCAGGGCAGAAAGTGTATTAAGACATGAGGATGAAGACCTAGTCTAAGCTAAAATTTACCTGCTAAGGTGGTGTCAGCGGTCTTCAGGACCAATTTTCGTCCTCGCTTTATTGAGACGTTTACGGTCGTGGCCAAAAAGGCCTCGCGTATGCGCTCAACCTCCCACGCAAGATCCGAACACATCCAGTATTTTACGTCGGCTTGCTTTAGCCTTATCTTGATCCGTCGCTGGTGGATCACGAGGCGCTTGCGCTGATAGAGTTTTAATGCTACAAGTCGAGTAATCCTCAAAAGGAGATCCAATTTGCTCTTCAATACGCGCCACCTGTCGCGCAGACCATTCACCTCATGCACTAACTCATCGACGACGCGTCGATATTATCGGCCACCGCCTGCTCTCGTTGACGATTAAGGGGATCAACAGAACCATGTTGAACGAACCCTGCAGCGAAGTCGTCGAGACGGTCAGTACCAGTACTTGGTACAGTTGGTGGGGTACCCGGAGTCGGAGAAATAATGGGAGTACGACGTGCCACTGCGGTAGAATTTTACGTACGCCATTAACGTTTTTGAACGTCGTCTTCAGGATGAGTCGACCCATAACGCTTCCCACCATTCGGTGCGGGAGTAGAGGGGGCTGCAGCGGCAGCAGGTTCACTGGTGTGAGGGTCTGTAGCTGCCGAAATGTAGCGGGTACGCTAGAAAGAGCTTAGGTGGTCTTTGGCCTTTTGTTTTGCGAAATCAAAGCGCAGACTATGTTCGAGCCGAACTTCAGCAAGTGAAGTGCCCTCTTAAATATTCTACAGACTTGGTAGACGGTAAGCTCGGTAAGCCCAACGTGTGAAGACGACATCATTTCCTTGTCCGTCTCACCAAGGAAGAGGATGACAGGTATTGTCCACGTGGCGGACAGTGACGCAATTCGTGCTACTGATTTATCCTGTCAACGTACTCTTGAGCAGTCATGCGTTCAACCCCCAATTATCTCACTCTGAGAGCCTTCCTCTCCGCTAGTGTTGTATGTGGCAGCCTTAGGTCCCGTGGACCATGTTGAGAGTGACTGTTCGGCAGTCCAACGAGTGCGTTCATCCACACTCGGTTGTGTGAAGCGGTAATAACTGTGTGCAAGCGCTGTGGCTACGCCTGCGGTCATCGACCGACTGAAGATATTGAGCTTGATCTTCATCAAGTGTGTTGTGCAACACACCCAACGCAGGATCTACTGATGCACGCTGTGCAAGGGGTTAAGATATCTCCTAGCGTTCCACGAATGGATTAAGCGCACGCGCGTGGTGTTACGCGGCGGTGGCGTAGCTGGTGGGTGGTCATAGATACTTGACACGACGGTGTGACTCTCATAGTCCACCATATTCTCTTCGAAGAATTTATCAAGGGTGTTTGACGAAGGCTTTGACGTAGTCATTATGAGATGTGTTAAAAAAGAATGGTCAGAACCAGATCTTTGATAGACCTTGAAGAGCAGCAGGAGAATTGTCGTTCCGAGGGTATCTACGGTTCAGGGGGAGAATGCAACAGAATTACACGGCGGTTATTAAAATGGCTATGTTGTGTGTCCACACCAAGTAAAGATCGGTGGATCTCAGGTTCAGTCTTGGCACGATGTACTTACGGAAATACCGCACCTTATCAATCGGGGATAACGGATAATACTTCTGTCACAGGATCGCAATGTACAACTCAGTCAGGCAAGGTTTTATGGTTTTATTACCGTAGTTAAAAAGTAAATTAAGTTCATTTTCCCTTTTTAATCCTTGGAAGCTAGTGCCTAGCCAAGGCATAGTGTGTTGTAAGAGCATTAGCCTTGTGAAGGCGCTTGCTCTTGTTTAACAGGTAGTGACTAGTTAGTGTGTGATTATGTGAATCGTAATCTTTTTGAAACCGTGATTGTTAAGCTTCTACGCTTTAATGACTGTACGTCGTTGTTAATTTGTAAGAACTAATATACTCGTTGAGTGTAAGACCTTCTCTGTTAAGGAGTGCCAAGTACTCCTGCTACATGCAACGCCCGGATTGTTGAGCCCGGTCGAATGCTGGAATAGCTCTTCATCAGAAAAATTTATCTTTCCCGAGGATCCATACACCTTAAGTTTATCCCAACAGAACGCTTTTGAAGCACAAATCTGGTGACACCAGATTTTCTGAAAACTATTCGTGGTCTACACTACCGAGCTAGCTTTTCTCATTGAAACTTAATGCACCAACAAATGTTTTCAAAATGTAAAGTCCATAGGGCTGTACGTTTAGTAAATGAGAGTGTTCGTAGCACAATTACGAGTTTACTTCGGCAAAAGCTGGACGCATTTACGCATCCAATGGCACCAAGTGTATGCATCAGATTTTAAAGACTAGACCAAGTCGTCTTATGCACCAACATATTCTTCAAGCGTGTGTGACACCAGCAAAGGAGCCTTTGAAGTCATAAACGCTGCTATCTTTGAGAACCTGTTTGCGCGCAGATTTTAGTATCGGCATGTGTAAAGGTATTGTCACAGCACGAGGATAGATTACGACGGTATGTACATAGTAAACTGTTGAGGCGCAAAACTCACAGAGGGGGAACTAAAGAATGGGGGAGCAAATCCTAAATAGATTTGATGTGCAAAACCAAGCACGATACCTAATGCACTCGACCGAGCACGAGCCGGAAGCAGCAACATAGCTCGATCCGAGAGCAGCAACATAGCTCGAGCTGGAAGCAGCAACATAGCTCGATCCGAGAGCAGCAACACAGCTCGAGCCGGAAGCAGCAATATAGCTCAAGCCAGAAAAAGCCTTCGAGAAGGTCCTTCCGTAGTCTCTTCCATTATAATACATCATAGGTACTCGTAATAGGGGTGTGGAGACCACAAGAAAGAGCGACAATCTATTATCACGACGGTGAAATTTCCACTTCTCTTCAACCATTAAGATCAGACCAGTTATACAGTGGAAAGTACCGAAGATACCACAAAGGTGAGACGGCAACTTCTGATCTAATCTATCCTCCTGTTAGTTCATCTGGTCCATCAGGTCCATTCTGGGATCCTTTGCCAGAAAGAAAGGACCGCCATGTCACAGACCATACCCATCTGAAATTGCTACTGACTCAGCAAATGCGATGTTTACTCTAGATGCCCCCACTTCGTGTGCTTTCATGGTAACTCACAAACCGATTTGCCGACCACTGCGCACCATCCATTCTGGCTATTAATAATCGACCATGAGGTTGATCGACCTCATCGCGCTCAACTTGGGAATTTTGCTCTTCTTCACGATTTATCTCGCTGCAGCCTAGGCAAAGCCACTCGAGACGTAGCCTAGCCCCATCAAACTGAGGACTACGGGAGCTTTGACGATCGAAGCTATGGAGGAAAACCGCGGCTCACCTTTGCGCATTTAGCATCTGATGTGGCTTTCTAACTTATTCAACAGGACGTGGATAAAACGTCTTTTGACGTGATTCAAGGGTGAAATACTCATCAATGAAGCTTTCGTGGGGACGGATGTAACGAGGTTCGGAGAAACACACTGGACAACCAGTGTGGAGCTACTATCACTTACAGAAGCATGAGCGGTGCCTCGCTACCTCTGTTAACTTGGCAGAGGAAGGGAACGCAACTGGAACTGACTAGTTGCGGGTGGAGCATAAGTGTACTGAATGTATTTTAAGTCTTGAACATGTGTACCTATGTTTTAGTACTAGATTGATGATATTTTTCGGCAAAAGTGTATGCTTAAGTCTTTCTCACCACTCGTTGTCCATCGTTGATTGGACCGCTAGAGCTGGCTGATGTAATGATCCATACCAGACAATAGGTACGTGTTTTTGAACATTACCCCTCATGGTAATATTTACGAACATTATAAACCTTATGGTAATTTTTTTAAATAACAAGTATCAAGTGTTATTACATGTAACAGGCTCACCCCGTTACACCGGAGGTGAAGGCGTTCAAGGAAAAGTCGAAGGAGCACTAGGCGATGCTGATGAACTGGACACTCGTCGATGATGCCGCCATAGAGCCAAAGAAGGGGGCGTCTAAGCAAAAGTCGAAAGAGAATTATACGAAGTACAACGTCCGTACACCCGTCGACGAACCCGTTCTGGATCTGGAAAACCTCGAGGCAAAGTCTAAGGGCATGGCATTCGTCGATAACACCGGCAGAGGGTAGCGAAGTATAAGAACGATATCAAGGATGTTTTTAGCTTTAGAAGAGCTTTAAACAAATTAGGGTTGCGGAAAAAAGCTTATCGAGGGCGCTATAGAGGACCCAGATTCTCGCGCAATCAACTCCCTCGAAATCAACAATTACCGGAACATGTACGAGAACGTTCCCCCTGCAACTCCAAAAAGGAGACATGCGACATTACGACTTATGGGAGGCCATAATCCTACGAGAAAAAAGGGGCTGAGATTCTGAGCCAGGAACGACAGAAGAGATGAGAGGGTCGGGGAATTTGCTACAGCGTTGGAAGAAGTGCAGTTTAGCTGTTGGAAGAGCGTTGGCGAGACCGAGGCGACATTATCCGCCAACATCTTTGTTGTTGAGGATCCGAAAGACACAACCCCGCACTGATGAAAGACAGCTCGAAACACTTCTCGCAGTACTTTGAAAGAGAGAAGCTCAAATTTCCGCTGTAGTGGTCGCGTTTTAATTGTGCATTCCAAAAAGGCTTGGTATCGCATTCGCACTAAACATTTTGTTGTGTCTCCTTTCTTTTCAATGCCTACATCTTCCTCCTTACCATCAACTTTGGTCTCTGGTGATCTAAGCGGTACAATACCACCTATAGACTGATACAAACAATATGAATAATGCTACATTTCTTCATGAAACCCTCTAACAAAGTTATCGCTTCAGCCAGTAATGCTTCTGGAACTATTTTGTCGAGTTCGTACACTAAGTCAGCGAGTTCGGTGCTCGCAAGAATTGGGAGGTGTTAATTGTTTTAAGATCGTCGATCAACATGTCAATGTCAACGATATCTGAAAAAAATGTCTACAACAGAGACTTAAACGACATCTCTAGAGCCTTTTTGAGGGAGTACTTATAAGAGAGTGAGAGACGTGTTGTGTAGCTACGTAGTTAGGGGGTGATCAACTACATCAGACAAAACAGTACAGTCCCTCCTCTACTAACTTTTAGCCTCGGTGGACACATTTCCTATAAGTTAGCAGATGCTAGTTGTTATCGGACAATGGGATCGTCGTCCACAGGAAATTATACTGATTAAATTACATAAGATAAAATATTAAAAGAAGGTTAAGAAGGAATTTCTTAACCAGATACACTGTAGTAAAGTCCATAAATCATAGGAATAAAAAGTGAAACCCCATCCAAAACCACTCACTCCTCTTCCACTCCCAGATTAAATGTACTCAACCAATATAATTTGGTATCAGATACCACTAGCACAGACCCCACATTTTGTTTGTAAAAATTGGTTCAGGTTGTGCCTCATGGTCAGAGACACACAGACACCCAGGTCGTTTGGTGGGGGTTTTGTTTTTCTTTAGGAACACGGTGTAATTTTTGCTGACTCTCTGTAGATGAGCTGATCACATATATTAAGAAAGACATGAGCTGTAACGGGGCACCTTGAAGCTTGTACTGGTGACAGTACAAGCTACTTATTATGATGACAGAATAAGGCGGTGCCTCGTAACTTCACGTACACTCGTACGTGCAGAGGAAGACGGTAAGAAGAAGCGAGTACTTGGTTAAAGTAAAAAGTAGAACTGTATTTATAATAGTTAATGTCTGCAAAAAATTATCTTCATCTAACTATGTCTAAATACAAATGTGTAAATCAACTATCTGCTCACCACTCATTGCGTGCGTCTGTCGTGGCGCGTCTTTGTTGGTTGATATAATGGCCTATATCAACCAATTAGGAACTACTCGTAAGTGCTGCAGGATATTTGTCCTTATGACAATATTCTGAGAATATAACTCTTTTAGTAACATTCTATTAACAATTTCTTATAAACTGTTATGTAACGATTCACCCCGTTACATCACCCCCCCCTTAACCATCAGTCACTTTAGTGACTGATTGACTAAATGGATACTCGTCCCAAATCATTTGGGACGGGGTTTGCACTTGTTGGTCCGAGTCCACTTTCCAACATTTCATCGCATGGTTAACAAGCCCATGCGATGCGCGAGCAAGGCCGCTGAGAGCGCGTCTGCACGTCTATGTGCAGGTTCCGAAGCAGAAACCACAGCAACTGATGTCTCATCGGTTGCTGAAGCGACTCAGCCTGTGTCACTTGGTGATGCAGGCGCTGGTCACGAAGACACTCATGTCTTCACAGAGTACGAGCTCGGTGTCTCATAATCTCCTGATACGGATGACGGATCCGTATCGACGGCGATTGAATCTAATCCGCCTGCCAAGCGTGGCATGGACGATGCTTTGCGTCGCAGCATCTTTGGTTCATCTGATGAATCAGATGAACCATCGCCGAAGCGAAGGCGCTCGAGGTCGCGAGACTCGGGCGCTAATAGTGGTGTCGGTTCTCCTATGGACACCACTTCACAGCGAGGCGCCAGTACTTCTGTCGGCACGTCGCAGGAAGAGCGGGACCGCAATGTGTTGCGTCTCGCTCCTGAGAAGAAGGCATGGATGCCTCCAAAATCCGTCATGGATCACTTGTCGGCGACGACGAGTAATCGTTATCGAACACGGTTGTTCGATTCGTCAAGGATCCATCACCTTGACCCCAGCGCGAAAAACTATCGCGCTGAAAACGAATTCTTCATCGATGCTTTCTTTAGACATCGATGGTACAGTGGGAATCACAAGCGTGATGGTCCCTCACTACTTCAAGCGTGGAACGCCTACATCCATAACCTTGAGGATGTAGGTCGTGACGCTTGGAGCGACAAGCTTATCAAAGCTCGTGATAAGTTTGAAAAGCGAACCCCGACAGGTGCACGCTACAAGCTGCATCGTCTGTCAAGGGAGAAGGGATTACCCTGCCTCTCTTAGGGAGACTCGTGCCCTTGTTGTGTAAACAACTCTGCGCACGCACCTAAGGAGGCATAACTCCTTACTGGCCCGTGGTGGCGCGTACGTGTCTCTACTGAGATGTACGAAGGGATTGACAACCTGAAATCCCTTTACGAACGTGCCGGGAAGACTTTCTCCGGCGGTCCTTCTGCGGCACAGGATGTGCCGCGTCGTACTGCTCAACCAGACCCAGTACGTCAATCATCTGTTGGGAGCGGGGCTCCCTAGTATCCCAGGACGGGGGATAGCCGCGCCACCGGACGAGATAACTCGTCCGACGTCCGTTCACGTCGCGGTGGTTCAACAGCTGATCAACTAGATAGCGCTGGCCACCGCGAGAGTCCTCTAATGGAGGTGGAGGAGGAGGAAAGACGCTCTCCACACGATCATGGGGATCCGTGTGTTCCCGAGAGCTTCTTTGATCGCGTAACGCAAGGGTTACGCAACGATCTCGAACATGAGCGGGACAGGCGTCTCCAAATGGCGGACACTGTCTCGAAGCATCGAGCTGAGTTTGCCTTTGCTCAGCTTGAGAACGAGAGATCTCTGACATCTCTTCGTGACGAGCTAAGGGTAGCTCGTGGGATTGTTGATCGGTCTCGGGATGAGATAGCTGCTCTTCAGACCCTTGTCGATGCCCACCATCGGGAGCACAAGGCTCTCTGCGAGATGCTTGAGCGCAAGGGCGTTCTTCATCGGAAGAAGCAGCGTACTGATGGTACGGCTTAAGCCGACCAACGTAAAACGTGGGATGCGTTCGCATCTTACGTGGTAACTCGATCGTGTATGCATTGCCTAGGCGGTGCAATACACGAAATGGGCCGATTTACTTGGGTAGTAGTTTACTGCTACCCAAGTTGGTCACTACATGCTTTGGTAGATTCACCGTAGACGGTAGGACTAAGTCACCTTTATTAAATAAAAGAGTGTTTGCCCTTCCATTCTTGTCAGCGTTTTGCTTTTGCTTATCCACTGCTTCGGCGATGGAGTCTTGCACAAAACGGACTACCGTTTCACGAGCCAGTATGAACTCATCTGATGACTCGTTAGCTTCAGTGCGCTGTGAGCGCACTGCAGCAACATCTACCTTTTCTTCAGTGAGGGCTTCCGCACTCTCACTGGCATCATCTTCTTCGATATCGATGTTATCGATATCGGCATCAGACGCAATGACCTCTTCGTCAGGGCGTGATGAGCGTGAACCAAATCGGTTTTTGCTCGCGCGATTCCCTCCCCCCCTTAAACCAGAGTTACACTCTAGTAAGGTGGGTACACGCGGATGGCGCAAGCCATTCACGTAAAACGGTGTATGTGTCGTGGACGCATGCACCGAGTTGTTAATGGCAAACTCTACCATTGGCAAGAACTCACTCCAGCTCTTAAAGGAGTGTACGTATCCTCGAAGTATCTCTTCAAGGACACGATTGGCACGTTACGTCTGACCATCTGACTCTGGATGATCAGATGTAGACATCTTCAAGCGCGTTCCGAGTGCTTTGAACACGGAACGCCAGAAATCAGCAGTGAATCGTGGATCTTTGTCTGATACGAGTTCACGGGGCAACCCATGAAGTCGGAAGATGGTGTCAATAAAGACACAAGCACAGCCACTTGCCGTGATTGTCTCTGGTACAGCCACAAGGTGTACCATTTTGCTGAATCTGTCAACAAATACGAGAGCACCCGCATTCCCGCGTGCGTCTTTGGGTAACCCGAAGACGAAATCCATTTAGATGGATTCCAGCACTCTTCCGGAACTGGTAGAGGCTGTAAAGGTGCACGCAGTGAAGGACTTGACTTCACTCGTTGACAGACTTCGCATGCGCGAACATACTTTCGCACAAACTGATACTGGCGGGGCCAGCAAAAGTCTCGACTCACCGTGATATATGTCTTCTCACGTCCACGGTGTCCTCCTATAGGAGCATCGTGATACTCGAACATGATCCGCAAACGCAGATCAGTATCATCTGGAATGACAACACGTGGTGTGTCACCAGAAACAGCTGTATAATACAGTAAACCGTTGCGAGTAGTGTATCGATCTGATGCAAATCGATACGCAGACGATAATCGTTTCAACGATTCTCGAGATGGTTGTGAAAGATGTGTCAACAACTTCACAATCTCACCATCTTGGGCGTATGCCCGCCTCACATCATCATGTAACGTTGTAGATGGGACTGAGGACGTCATAACCGCAACAGTGGCTGTCTCACTGTTGGGTTTCGCGACTGTTTCAAAGTCGGGACGACGTGAGAGTGTATCAGCGACGACATTGAGTCGTCCTGGTTTGTACTCAACCGTAAAGTTGTATTATGCAAAGAATGACAACCACCGCGCCATTCGTTGTGAAAGGTGCGGGCTGTTCACTGCCGTGCGTAATGACGCATGGTCAGTGTAAACAATGAAGGGTCTATCTCCTAATAGATAGACTCTGAACTTCGCGAGTGCATACTTCATGACAAGGAGCTCCTTGTCATGCACTGGATAGTTCCGCTCAGCTGGTTGCAGCTGACGCGACTGATAGCAGACGACGCGTTCAACGCCTTCAAGATCGTACTGCATCAATGCACAGCCGATTGCGAAATCGCTGGCATCACAGACCACATGAAATGGCCTGTCCTGATCGGCTATTGCTAGGACTGGGGATTGTATCAAGCTCTGCTTGATACCATCAAAGGAGCGCTGACATGCAGCGTTCCATAACCACCTCTCGTTCTTTTTCAACAAACGAGAGAGGTGTACAGTCATCTCGGCGCAATAGCGTGAATACTTATGCAAATACGCCGCTAGCCCAAGGAATTTTCGAAGACCTTTGACATCAACCAGCACAGGCCAGTCGGTGATCGCCTTGATCTTTTCGGGATCAGGACGTACACCGTTCTTACCAACGATGCACCCAAGAAGTAGTATTTCGCTTGCTGCAGATATACACTTCTTGAGGTTTGGATAAAATTGATGCTTTCGCATGATTGTAAGAACCTGTCGGACGTGGTACCTGTGAACCTCAACGTCCGACTTTTTATCCATAGCTCGACTATGGATGAATACGTCATCGAAATAGCTCGGCGCGAATTCTCGTACTGGTCTCAACAGATGTGTATCACATCTGTTGAACGTGGCAGGGGCATTACTAAGCCCTTGTGGCATTACTAGCCATTCCCAGAGCATGCCGCTAGGCGTGCTCACTGCGGTATAGGGTATATCCCGTTCTCGCATAAGGATTTGATAGAAGCCATCCATCAAATCCATGGACGAAAAGATGGTACTCTTTGACATACCATCAATGATTACGTCCTTCCTTGGTATCGGCGTCTGAGCCGGTACCGTTGCAGCATTCAACTTTTTGAATGCATGCACAATCCGCCACCCTCCTGTTGCTTTTCGCACACAGAAGGTCGGAGAGCTATGTGGGGAAGTTGAGACCCTCACAAGGGCCACAGCTAAACGATCTGCAAAGAACTTGTCTATCGCAAGTACTTGTTCACGAGGCAGTGGCCACTGCTTCATGACACAGTACTTCGAGCCTGGTTTAAGCTCGACCTCGTGTCGAATACCTTTATCCTTCGGTAATTCGCACGGAACAGTTTCAGGGAATACATCCTTGAATTCAACCAAATCTTCATAGAGAGGATTTGTCTTGAGCGATTCCCACGATTGGGAGTCATATCGCTCAACTCGTGTCTTTTCATCTAGGACACTCTCGTCCATAGATGAACTACTGAGAACTCTCTCGTTCTCAGTAAACACTTTTGCTGACCTTATGTCGGTTACACACTCGTCGTCAGCGACGAGTACGCAGATCTGCTTGACTTTGCCACTACGCAGATCACGCAAGAACCTTTTATGTTCGAGCGTTGGCAACTGAGTGATCTCCGAAGTCAACTTCGGAGGCGCAATCAGATCAAGTGTATAAGCGCCTACACTTGATCCGTTATTGACTATGACATTCAATGTCTCTGTCATTTCCTGGGGACTTATTCCCTCAGGCTTCGAAGGACTTATTCCTTCGGCTTCCCGGGGACTTATTCCCGCGGGTTTCGGGGAACTTATTTCCGCCGTATTTGTAATCTTGGGACTTATTCCCTTTACTTCCTCTAGCTGGGGTTGCGCAACCACAGCGAGATCCTCTACGAAAGACTCTCCAGTCGATCTAGGACTATCGTTTCGCTTAACCTGAGCGATCGATTGTTTCGCTTCTAGATGTTCCCCGCTAGGGATACATCTTGGTCCCAGTCCACCCGACTTATTCGAGTGGTGGACCTTCGGCGCAGCCTGTGTTTCCTCACAGCCGCCGGAACTTTGCTCCGAAGTGTAACCGTTTGTTACACTAAGGTTTTGTGCAGTCGTACTAATGACCGTACCACAAGTGAGGCCATCGCACTCACCCGTAGTACATCCACACGCTTGTGGACGCTCCAAAACGTTCATCAGATGGCCATCTGATAAACAAGCGGCAGGCATCGTTACTGTTCGATGTTGCCAGTTTACCCGTGGTTCGTACCTTCTGAGCCACGGTATTCCAAGGATGACATCAAATTTGTCATCCAAATCCAATACGATAAAGTCATCGTCATATTGGGTATCTTCTAGCGTATAGTGGATCTTCACTATACGCTTCATGACGGTTACGGATGCGCCTGTCGCAAGACGTACCGTCATCCTCGTAGGAGGTGTGTCACATTCACTGAATTTAAAGTGACCATCTTCTAGCGATTGGCGTCGCACAAAATTGTTGGACGCCCCACAATCGACTAGAGCTCGAAGGGACAACTTATTCGTCACTTCGAGTTTCAAGGTAATGAGTGAGACCTCATTACCTAGAGCAGCAACGCACAACGTTTTTGCGTTGGGAGCAACCTTCATCAAGAGGCCTACAAATTCTCTTGACGTTGCTGGAACAGTAGGGTGCTCCGCACCTACTGATCCTGTCCGTTTTTTGACGGTCCATCCCGTTGTTGCGTCTTTGCACCAACTGCGGACCCTCGTCCCTGCCCCTTTCTCATGGGTGGACGGTCACTACGCCCAGTGTCGCGAGACACTGGACGAGGGGCACTACACTCGTAAGCGTAGTGTCCTGTCTTTTGACATCTGTTGCATCTCTGTAACTTCTTGTAGCCTGTAGAGCGAGCCTTCTCGCTCTCTACATAACAGAGTTCCATCGGCTCTGGACCTCCGTTGTCATATCGTCTCGGTTGACGATATGATGTCGAGCTGGCGCGAGCCTGTCTCAGACTGAAGTCTTCCTGCTCCGCAATGGAAATGGCTTGTTCTAGTGAATCTAGTTCAAGCCGGAACAGGTGAGTCTTGACGGGACCATCCGCAAGACCCTGCATGAACACCGAAACCAACGTGTGTTCATCCACCGGATTGGAACTTATACAACTCGTAAGATGTCTTATATGTTGGGCGTAAGCGTGCACATCACGCTTACCCTGCTTGAGATTCAAGAGTTCGGTTCGAGCTCTGAACTCAGCTCTAGGCGGTTCAAACGTTTGTCTGAGCCGCGACTTGAAGACTTCTAACGACCCAACGCATATGGGTCGTGCAACTTGAGCCCCAAAGCCCACGTCTTGGCACGTCCTGCCAGATTTGATTGGGCAAATGCAACTTGCATAACCCCGTCGTCGATGCGACACGCCCTTATGGTGTCATCCAATTCGACAAACCATCTCAGGAGGGAGTCCCCTTCAACTCCCCTATACTTGGAGATGTCAATCTTCAAGGTCTATGGTCGATGCGAGTGCATCGAACCACCAGCAGCAGCCTGCTGCTGTCTCAACAGTTCAAACTGTTGAACACCCTGTTCTCTCACCAACTCTGCTTGTTGGGAACCTTGTTGGTGAAGCAAGGCTACTTTCTCGCGTTCTGCGTCAAGTTCATTTTGAATGAACTTGGCGATAGTAGCATGTTGGGACATCTCTATTGAGAGCCTCTAGCATGACGCTAACAGCATGGATGCCCATGGTTGAACCCATTCGTTCAACCGCATCCCATTCGACATCGCTCAAATGGGAGTAGCCGTCACGTGTAGCGTGAAAGCTTTGGTCATCTTCATCGTCCAACATATTCATGTTAGATGTGAACGTGGTCCTCGGACGGACTACGAAGTGCTACCAGGTGTAACGGGGCACCCTGAAGCTTGTACTGGTGACAGTACAAGCTACTTACTCTGAAGACAGAATAAGGCGGTGCCTCGTAACTTCACGTACACTCGTACGTGCAGAGGAAGACGGTAAGAAGAAGCGAGTACTTGGTTAAAGTAAAAATTAGAACTGTATTTATCATGGTTAATGTCTGCAAGAAATTTATCTTCATCTAACTATGTCTAAATACAAATGTGTAATCAACTATCTGCTCACCACTCATTGCGTGCGTCTGTCGTGGCGCGTCTTCGTTGGTTGATATAATGGCCTATATCAACCAATTAGGAACTACTCGTAAGTGCTGCAGGATATTTGTCCTTATGACAATATTCTGAGAATATAACTCTTATAGTTATATTCTATTAACAACTTCTTATAAATTGTTATGTAACGATTCACCCCGTTACATGAGTGTTCAGGAGGAGTTCGATGATTAAGAGGGGATGGATGTAGTTGAGGCGGAGAAAAAATAAGGAGCTGCAGCAAAGGAGGAGGCAGTTACAGACAGATTGACTAAGTTTGAGAAGATCCTGTTCTTAGGTAGTGCCTGCACCTTGCATTATCTGTCCCAGGAAACCCACCGTTCTACGTCGAAGCTACCCGCAGCCAACAGAACGACACTCGCAGTGCCACACAAACCACCCTCGATGCTTGGCTTGCATAGGTTTACTTCCTCATATTTGGCACAAAATTCTCCAGAGATTCTAAATTAATTAAATCACCTCTAACTGATGAAGATTTTTTTTTTATTTCTTCAATTTTTTTCACTAAATTAGGAATTTCTAATATCCATTATGAATCTTTTTATATATTCAAAGATTGAATTAATTTTGATGTTATCCTCAATTTTTTATGTAAAATAATACTTTAAAATCTTTTGAAAAATTTGCCAGGCAAATCTTTTACTCTACCACCTCGTATTAATACAGCTGAATGTTCTCGTAAAGTATGACCTATTCCAGATATATACGTATTTATTGTTTATCGACTAGATAAATGTACTTAAGCTACTTTACGTCTAGCGGAATTTGGTAAATAACGCTAGGAATGCCATAAACGTCGTACTAAAGTCCAATTAAGACTTGTACCTCCTTCGTTTTAATCAACGCCAGAAGTATCTTACACATCGCACCAAGTGCGAAGTAGTGTGTCCGCTCATTTGCATGCGCCTGTAAATAAACGCCAGGTGTGCTTTACACGTCATATTAAGTGCGATGCAGCCTGTCACCTCTTTTATGTATGCGTCTGTAAATAAACTTCAGGTGTACCTTCCACGTCGTACTACGTGCGATTTAGCCTGCATCCTTTAATGCTCTTGTACCAATAAACGCTAGGCGTACCTCTCACGTCGTGCTAAGTGCGATGCCTCACTTGCATGCGTCTGCAAATAACAACTAGGTGTACCTTACACGTTGTACTATGTGAAATGTAGCATTTTTTCCCTCTTCATTGTTAATGGGCATCACTGCGAGCCCAAAGGGTGAAGCTATTAACGACTGAGCGCAATGTATGTGAATGCACAGAGCTTAATTCAATTTTGTAGACCGAATTGCTTATATCATAGGACGAGCTCCAGAGCTTGCTTTCCTATCTTATTTCCTCAGCAAGTACATGAGGATGCGTCTACTCAACCAAGTTACACCGTAGCTCGTGCTTCGAATCAAACAATGGAGCGATTCACATATAATGTTCACGCAGCGCAAAGAATGAGCTCCTCGAGATGTCAATGCGATCTCACGGTGACCAGTCTGCTCGACATGTCTAGCCTGTACCCGTTGATCGATCACCACTCGCCCCAATCATCATTAGACTTGGAACCCGCAGGAACAGGACACTCGTTCTTGCCGTCGTCAATAAAGACTGAGACAGATGATGTTGGCGAGCACAGAGCTTGTCCGTCAGCCAGCAAGATGTCGTCTAGTGAAGTGTCGAGCAAATTTTCTGCGTTTTCGTCCACGTGATCTGCGCAATGGATCGCACTCTCATGGAAAGCGCGAAACATTCCGAGCTCAGCCTTCAGCAAACCCATTTCGCTCTTGACTTCAGCTTGCGCTGTCTTGTATCCTTCCTGAAATGCTATGTCTCGCTCTTGCTTTACTCGTTTTTCGGCTTCGATCTTGGCGATCTCAACACCCTTTTCATATGCTTTGCAAGCCCGGGCTTCAGAATTAGCCAACATGTTTGCAAGCTGCGCCTGCAGCTCATTCATGCGAGCCTGCAGCTTGCTGTGATCATTTGAATGAGTACCAGTCGCGGACATATCAGAACCTGTCGATGAAGCCTCAGAACCAGCGTCACGTTGCAGCCGCAACGTCGTGAGTTCGTTCTGCACAAGGTCTTTGAGTTTCTTCATCTTGAGTGCTCTCATACGCCACAAATCTCTTTCTTTCGTCACATCCGCTAAAGCCGCACTTCGAGTCTTCTTCGCCTGTGATTCGTTTTGCTTGCCCAGCTCGGCAATCTGCTCCCGCGCAGCTTGAAGCTCCCGCTCCAAATCTGCTTTTTCTTTTGTCAAAGCGACCACTCGCTCACCCGCCAATGCACGAAAATCCCGCTGTGCGATCTCTGTTCGATAGCGTGCCATTTCCTGCTCCGTCTTCTGTCCCACATTCTTTGCAATCGCTCCAATCTCCTGAGCTCCTTCGTTGTACCCTGCAGCCCATGCGGCATCAACTCGCGAAGAAAATGCGTCCATCTTTGTCTCGTACGTGTCACGAAGGTCTTGAAGCTGCTTGTCCCACTCCTTCAGCGATTTTTTCTCCTTAACATCGTAAATTTGCTTGATCTCCTGCAACTGACAGTGCAAATCCCTTGCTTTCTGTTGCCATTGGGCAACTGCGCATTGATCAGCTTCATCTGCTGCTCTCGAAAGCCGAGCATACGCATGCTCCTCACGATTCATCCGCCGTCCTGTGGAACAGCGATGGGTCTGCGGCGGCGCATCGTCCTCCGGGTTGTGTTCCAAACTCCGATCCATTAGATCCTCTGCTCGGTCCACACACTTTCCGGTCGTTTAGCTCCAGGGACTTGTCATCATTGATCGACACTTGATCCCGCCACTTCTGCTCAGTCGATTGCTGTCGGCGGAAAAAGTAGCGGCACCAGAACTCGCCCTCGCTCAGCTCCAGCGGCACAACGGCGTCATGCAGCTCCCGGATCTCTGCGTCTTTGTCTCGTAGCTCTGCAATTTCTTGCGTCACTTTCTCAAGTGCAAAGGAGCTCGAAAACGCTCGATAGTCCGCCAACTCTTCGTACAAAATCTCGTCCACGGGTCCAGTGCGAGCGGAGCTCATGACACGCTGGACAAGCGTCGAGGCTTCATCCTGTACGGAGGCAGCAAGCGTATGTGCTTTCTCGTGTATGGAGGTTGCGTAGATCGAAGCGCTGGCTGACGCGCTCTTGACTGCGTGCTCGAGGAGCTCCCACATGGTGCCGCACTTGTCCTATTGTAGTGAGATGGCTTTTAGCGATGTACACTGTAGGAATTAAGGAAGGTAGGAGTAAAATTCCGGATAATGGGACACAAGGACCAGACAGACATCATTATTTTCGGAAACGGGTGTTTATCCAACTGAAGCTGCACAACTCTTACCGCCGGATGAGACCCTCTCTAAAATGAGAATGAGATAGGGGAGCAAGCTCTGAAGCTCGCTGTTTAATAACGTAAAACAGATCAAAAGACTGTATTAAGTTTCAGAACACTATTTAACGGAAGTTGCTTAATTTAGAATTTATTTACATTCCCCGCCCTTATTTTCCCTGTTCTACGTAAATATTGTACAAAAACCACAAGCCGCACAACCTACTGACAGTAGCACGCGTCACCACAATGAACCTTTTTTTAACTGGGGCACCCCTTGTTTGGGGTGCCGCGAAACTTCACGTACACTAGTACGTACAGAGGAAGCTATCTACTTGAGCAGCTAGTTTGAGTAAAGGGTAAAAAGAGACCTGTATTTGATATAATTAAGCTATCAATATAACTTTAATCTTTATCTAACTATACTAAACTACGCCGTCGTATGATGACAACCTGCTCACCACTCATTGTGCGCGTCTAGCAGCGAGTGGTGGTAATCTGTGGTTGATATGTCTTTTATCAACCAATCTTGGAGCAGCAAATGAATATTATCCTACAAAGGGGATAACATTCCTTCAATGTTATCCATTTCAGATAATAATGGTAGGATATTGTCATGCTGGACAATATCCCTATTGACACCGTTTGGTGTCAGTATCATGCAACGGGCTACCCCGTTACATTACCTCCCCCCTTAACCACCAATCACCCGTTGATTGAATAGAATTGATTGGGAAAAGGTGACCACCGTTGGATCACTCTGGAAAAGGGAGCACTTGTTGGTCAAATTCCATTCATTTGCCAGTCCAACGCATGGTGCCAAAGTCCATGCGATGTGCTGCCGAAACAGCAAGAAAGGTGGCTGCACGCATGCTTACAGCCCAAGAGAGTGCTTTTCACACCGGCAAGTGATCATTCGCTTGCTGTTGCAAGTGATCAACAGGTAATGCCGGTTGAGACTAGTCCATGTGGTGAGTCACCACGTGCAACAGATACATTCGCTGCGTCTGCAGCAGGAGCTGTGGCTCGCAACGCGGTTGATACTGAAATTGGGTTCATCTATTCTGGCGAGTCGAATGATGTATCCGACTCGAAGGCAAATCCTCACGCCTTCGGATCACCCGGTGCGGACACTGCAAGAGCCAGATTGACTGGCTCTGGTCAACGTGGCGGCATCATGCTCAAGATCTTCGGATTTAGCGATTCATTTGACGAATCCTCATCTCACGCAAGTCCATCTGACGAAAGGACGCGTGGTGATGGTGATGATGACCCTATGCATCACCACGAGAGAAGCAACTCGAGGGATAGAGCTGCCACTGGTGTCAGTGCTCGTGCTGACACCACTCAAGAGGAATAGGACCGCAATGTCCTGCGCCACTCTCCTCAAGTGGAGTCTCCTTGGACGCCGTCATCCAAAGAGTTTGATTGAGTGGTCGGTATGACTACCGAACCGGATCAAATCCCGTTGTTTGACTGTAGGAGGATCTGTCCCCCTAATTCCAGCACGGGAACGGTCCGTGCTGAGGAATGTTTCTTCGTCGATGTGTTCTTTAAGCATCGGTGGTACAATGGCAGCCGTGTTCGAGACGGTAAGGCCTTGGTGCAAGTATGGAATGCCTTCATCCATAACATCGAGTGCATTGGCCGTGAGGCCTGGCTCGGTAAACTTGATGCAGCTCGCATCAGGTTTGAGAAACGCAACCCAGTAGTTGTAAGGTACAAGTTGCACCGACTGTCAAGAGGGGAAGGATTACCCTGTCTCTCGTGGGGCGAACCATGTCCAGGTTGCCTGGACAACTCGAACCGTGCCCCTAGGGAGGCCTACCTCCCTAAGGATCCCTACTGGAGGGCACGTGCTCTTCTGAGATGTCCGAAGGGATTGACACTTTGCAATACCTGTACTCGCGTTCGGGGAAGTCATTTTCCGATGGCCCTTCTTCGAAAGCAGCGGGTGGGTCTCGTCATGTTGCTCGACGAGACCCGGAACATCAACAATCAGCTGGGCACGAGACTCCCAGCTATCACACGCCGGTGGATAGCCACGCCAGCGGACGAGGTAACTCGTCTGGACGCTATTCACGTCGCAATGGTTCAAAATACGCTCCACCAGAAAGCGTTGACCACCGCCTGAGTCCAACAAATGATGTGGTGGCGGCGGGAACACCTAATCCGGCTCGAGGGTCGGATCAGCTTGATGGTCAAGAGCTGGACCGTGTAACGGAACGGTTGCAAGATGACCAGGTTCACGAACGGACTCGGCGTTATGAGCTTGAGGATCTTGTAAGGGAAAATTACAATTCCCTAGCGCACGATCGTTCGGACGATCGTGCCGCTTTTGCGTTCGCGCAGCTTGGGAACGAACGTTCGACTCGTTCTCTTCGTGCTGAGCTGGCTGCAGCTCGTCGAGACATCGCTGAGCTGCGTAAAAAGGTCGCTTCGCTAGTCGACCAGACTGGCTCGTTGAAACGGGATCACTCGAGGGTGGTCTCGGCTCTCGACCGTGGAGGTGTTCGTCGCATCTCGAAACGGGCTCGTACTGATCGTACGGGCGGAGACGACCAGCGTAAAACGTAGGACGCGTGCGCATCTTACGGGGCAGTTCAATCGTGTATGCGTTGCCCATTCGGCGCAACACACGAAATGGACTGATGCACATGGGCAGTAATTTACTGCTGCCCACGTTTGTCACTGCGTGCTTCGGTAAGCTTACTACGGACAGCAAAACTAAGTCTTCTTCGTCA